AAATTAACATAAATTGTAGAAAATTAATACTATTCCTATGTTTTGAGGTTGGGGTGAAGTAGGACACCGGCAAAGTTGATCCCATGGGGTGGCGAACTTCACCCTGCTATGACCATTTAGATTTTATAAGCACAGGCAATTAAAGGGAGACAATTCATGTATGACAAACTCTTAGACTACAATTATCAATCAAATTACTTGGTATGAAATTCTTCACATAACATCAAGTTAGTCTGTGCCCAGAATTGTAAGTAATCAAGTGTAAATGTAAGAAATTGTTTAAGTTTGGAAAAACTAAATTCAACCAACCTTGTTATAAGGAAAAAATTCTGAAACTTAGCTGTCTGAAACCTCTATTGTTGACCTTACATGGAAGGTCATTTGACAGTCTTTTTAAAACATAGACTTGGATTAAACCTCTAATAAAGGATTTTTCCTGAAATTGGCCAACTTCACCCCACTTTACGGTTATAATAAAGTGAGAGCGATGGAACTCCGAATATAGATTCATGATATCATTACCTTGACTAATTTCGATTTTGAGAATGTTCTGCTTAGGCTAATGAGCGATAACCAATTGAGCTAGAGGTGAATGTCTTGACTGAGTTCAATGATTAACATTTCGAGCTGAAGCTAAGCAGAGCTAATCAATTTCATTGGTCAATGCTTTGGGATTGATGAAACTTCGTGTATAGTTTGATTGCTTGATACTTTTGAAAAAAAAAATGTGCGATTAATTAATGTGTCATCTATTTTTTTGGTATTTCGGCGGAGGACATCAGTCTCACTGTTGACTTGTTCCATCATTGCTTCTCAATATTGTTGAGGAAAGTCGACCCATCGCGTTTCTTCCGTAGTTTATATTCTTTGGAAGTGAAACCTTCAACGAACGGTTAATTGGCCTACATATCTGTGTGGTTGTTTGGAATGTGTTTTGTTCTAAAGCTGCTTCACTTATTATAATTCTTAAAATTTCAAGAATTGATTTATTTCCATTCATATAATCCTGTTTTCCTGGATAGTATTCGCCTCAGAATTCCCATTCTAATCCAAATTTAACATTTCAGGTCTACACCTCAAAACCCGATGACTTCTTTGATTGGCTTTATTAGAAGATGATGCATATTAATTTCATCCCTGATCTCGTGACACCTGTGGAAGTTGAGGGCAAACGTTAGTGTTGACTTCATTTCCGAACTGCAGAAGGCCGCCTTGCGTTTATTATGGCGTCTCATATTGGAACATAACATAAATGGCTTGTATGTTGACTGTTGTGCATATCTCTGGGTCAGGAAAGTTGTAGGTACCATTACCATTGTAAATCATTTGACAGGCCAGAATGAACAGCGAGACCTATGATTGGTCAGCCATGTATCAGATTACATACTAAGGGGTGGGGATCATAAAAATGTTGTAGTGTCAGATTATCTGAACTTAATTGTCCTATGGAAATATAGCTATGTAGGAGACATCATAAAATTTACAGGCACTGCATGTTTCAACATCTTACATTTGACCACAATTTGGCACTTGAAACTGTGTTAACAATGAAAAACCTATGTGCTTTTCAACGAACATGTTAAGAAATTTATATTAAATGATAATTACTGTTGTAAAGGATTTTTACTATTTGATTTATATTAAATTTAGGTTATCTTTTTACAGAAGGCATTTATGTTTACAAATAAAAATGTTCTGTGGAAATCAAAATTCATGTGCTTCTAAATTTATGTCTTAAAATCCGCAGTTTGCTGAAGTATTACAGTGATTGGAGAATGCAACACTACTCGACTGAAAATGCATGGATTTGAATAATCTTGGGCAAGGGCGTTGCATATGTGTTTGTTTATTAGACTACAGCAGATTTGTTCAGACAGCAGCAACGTGTGAGGTATATAGGACTAAGACTAGTAATTATTTCTCTTTATTTCATGATGGGTAGTGCGAGTTATTAATAGACAATATTTCCCTTTATTTTTTCGCTCCTTTTCCCGCATTTTTGGGGTGATTTTATGATCTCGAATTGGAGAGAAGGGATCAAATTTGCAATTTCATAGCAGTTTGGGGTAATACTGATGATATCACAGCGGAGGGATAGGGGGTGTAAATTGTCTTTCTGCAATTATTGTGTCAGAAGTGAGATTTTGGCCGCAGTCACCATCAAATCCTCGTAGCAAAAAAATCTAAACGGTCAATCCCCTACAAAATTATGATGAAGAGATTGCTAAATGCGGTCCCCTATGTGCCTAGAGATTGGAATCAACGGAATGTTGGGCAAAAAGCTACAGCCATTTAACATTGAAGTTCAATGGGCAAATAATTGCTATAGACTGAGTGCTGATGGTTTCCGAGATTTCAAATTATCTGCTCTGATCAATTGTAGCTAAAATCTACGAACCTATAAAAAACAGTTTGCAAACCAGTCGTTTTTTATAAGGGGTAGATATATTTCTAATTCGTTTATATTTAATTGTATTATCAAAATCTGTAGTATGCTTCGCTGTTTTCAAATACAGTATGTATAACATCTATATGTTTGACTTTTGTTATTATTATTAATATTCGTTCATAATATTAAACTTATAGATGACACAATTTGATTCTCAATAAAACTCTTGAACCTATATATATATATATAGATGTCCGGTCTTCATTAATATATTATATAATGATTATAATTTGTTGTTAATAAAAAAAATACGCATGTTGAAGGGGAGCCTTTGCTTACATTAGCGGATGAGAGTTACTTCCCTTTGCGATTAACGTGATTGTCGATAAAAATAGCACAATCATTAAGGGCGGATAACTTGAAAACGTGTCTCCTCTATATTTGCCCATTGACTTCAATGTTAAATGGCTGTAACATTACAGGCTGTAGCTCTTTGCTCAACATTCCGTTGGTTCCAATCTTTATAGGCACAACGGGGACCACATTTGGCAATCTCATCATATCAGTATTACCAAACTGTGCTATGAAATTTACAAATTTGATCCCCTTTCTCCAATTCTAGACCAAAAAGACAACCCAAAAATGCAGGAAGAGGAGAGAAAAAAAAAATAAGGGAAAATTGTCTATTTATAACTTGCACTAATTACTAGTCTTGGTCCATAGAATAACCCAGCGGTTAGTGGAGTAGAACGGAAGGAGGCCACTGGGGGTACCAATTATAATAGAATGATGGGAAACATCTTTTATGGTCTCATGTAAGACAGGTTTTTATGGAAGAAAGCAAAACAGAATTAAGAACAAAACTAACCCCTGCCCATGTAGATCTCCATTCTTATTCTATAATGAAAGTTAATCTTGCTGCTCAGGTAAGAATATTTTGTTGTCCTCCGCTTTTCAAAGAAAGCAGGGGGCTATTAAAATGGGTCCGTCTGTCCATCACACTTTTTGGAACACAATAACCCTTCTTCTAATTGAGCTAGAATGTCCAAACTTTGTGTAGGTGTGTTTATTAGGTCAATGCCTAGGTGGAGTTCGAAGATGCTTAGGGTAAGCAGAGATAAGAAATTTGATTGGTTGATGCTTTAGGACACGATAACTTTAGTTTTAATGAAGTGAGATTGATTAAAATTGGTGTATAGTTTTATTACATCAGCACCTTGACTTAAGTTTGATAATGAGCATTTTCTGCTCAGGGTAAGCAGGGCGATAAGGTGTTTATTAGGCCAATGCCTTGATGGAGTTCGAAGGTGACGATTTTCTGCTTGGGGTAAGCAGGGATAAGAAATTTGATTGGTTGATGCTTTTAATGTTGTTAGCCTTTTGGCAAATGTTAACTTGATGATGTTACTGACCTCTAGTAAGGCAGTGCAGTGGAAGATTTAACCTAACTATATATGGTACAACGACAGTAAGCCGATAAGCGAAGTCAACGACGTACAATGTGATGTCGATGTTACAGTACCATTACCACGCGTAACGCGAAAAGAAGCAATAATTACTTACTTTGATTGGAATGATGTCCATTCCTACTTACGAATTAGCATATATCCGTTATTCATTGTAACAGATAAATCGATAAAATGTAAATTATATGTCCATATTACTAGTAAAACACAAGTTTACGTTATTCAACTCATGACTCGCCGTGGTACTCGTAGAAATGTCAACATACCGTTTTCATGAACCATGATTAGTTTATCTGGTTAGCTTGCTTATTTAAATAATTGTTGTGTTAAGGAATGACTTTATAAATCATTGTACATCGTAGTTTTGTAATACGTAATTTTATATAACTATCGAGATACGCATTGGCATAGGGATTATATTGCACCACGCCCCTTAGCAACTGTTCCGCATGACGCGTTGTTGTGCATTTTTGTTGTTTTATTATTTAATACTTATTCAAATTTCATATTCTTAGTCGCAAAATGTACATAATAGTAAATAATGTAAAAGGGCAAGATAATAGTGGGGGAAAAATGTTTTATATACGAATTAAAATATTGCTTCGAACAGGCCTTAAAAAGTATTTATTGGTCATGACATTCACGTGACACCCTGGGCGACTTTCGGATGTAGACTATGGTCGCGACTAAAGTGTGAACTAGCTCCCGAACGCAAATGGCACGGACCATTGACTATTCAATATGGCGGCGCCCATGTCAATTCTTTTGCCTGCTATACTTTCTGCTGTTTACTCATTTTTAGAACTATATTTTGACCATGGGGACGAAGAAATGCTTTTAAAACATTTTCTTACAACGCTGGCTCCATTAGGGTCAATTGTTAACACGGATCAATTCCCGACATCTTTCAGAAGTTCTCCGTTACGCTGTATCGGTTGTACCTTAGTACACAAGTAAAGATTTCAGGTAAGTTTTAGGCCCGTATACCTCCCTAGCTGGGCAATATGCCATATTCCTAATAATAAATCTCATCTGCCAAAACATCTGAATTTTCTGCTACAATCAAAGGTATTTACATTAAAATTTATTGCATTATGTTATTTCATTTCAGGTATCATTATCGGCTATCGCTGGATTCGTTCAACATGCTTTTTGGCAAGATTCAGCCATATATTATATCGGGGAATATTGGAGGTTACACTGCAGTAGAACCCAGAAAAATGCTATTGATATTCGTTTGGTATATGGCTACGCAGGAGTCGATGAGAGAGATTGCTCATTTATTTGGTATCTCCATATCAACCACACACTTGATAATTATGAAGGTTTTGGACTCTTTAGAAGAGATGGCGTACAAGTTAAGCTACATTTACACATAATAAATTCTGTAGTATGACGCCTATATTGAAGTTGACTATTACACTGTTTATTTTACTGATCCAAAATTAGGCAATATATTGCCAACGTAAACGTAATATGGTTTTTATTTCGTTCTCAAATGCAATAAAAGGCCCCTTGTACTGTAATCGCATACATTTTTTTACTTTTTATCCAGTTCATCATATGGCCATCATTTGAATCACAAGACATTATATCACAAGAGTTACAGATAACTACAGACAGTCCATCAGATGGTGTTATAGGCTTCATAGATGGTACTCATATCAGATTAAACCATCGGTTTAACAAAGATCAGGACTATATTTGCAGAAAGAAATTTCCTTCAATACAACTACAGGTAACTATATGAATACTTAATTAGGTACGCCTACATACTAAAATTAAAGAAATAGGGTTTAACGTCCCAAAGTTCCTAAACTATAGAAAATCAAATTATATTTTAATTTTTTGACGTGGAATCTACTAAAATGGTTCTATTATTTTAGTGGGCTAGACAAACAATCCAAGTAAGTGTAGTTTAACTTGAAATCAGTAATTTGCACTAGATTGTCTTGACCTATCGGAATGGGACTTAATGCATACTTATTTCTTTTCCAGTTGGTTGTTGATCCCAATATGAGAATCATAAATGTGAACACAGGCTGGCCCGGCTGTGTAAATGATGGCAGAGTGCTTGTCAACAGTGGTATTTATCAAAAGGCCGAACGGGGTGAATTATTTGGACACGAGAAATACATCATAGGTGATTCGGCGTATCCTGTTAAACACTGGCTTATACCTGTTACAAGGATAATTGTAGATTAAGTGAAAGACAAAAACGATTTAATAAGTGTGCAGCCTCTATGAGGCGGCTGGTGGAACGTACCATTGGACATTTAAAGGGCCGGTTCAGGCGTCTTAGATGCCTTCATGTTTACAACAATGAAACTGCAGTAAAGATAATTGCTGCAGCCTGTGTCCTGCATAATATTTGTATTTCTACAAATGATCGACTGGACGATTTCATCGAAAATTATAATAAACAAAGACCACAGAATCAAATTGTTCCAAATGATGAAGATGGTGTTGCATTCCGGAATAGACTTGTTGAACTGTTTGCTTAATATATTGTAAATAAATACATTTTGTGATTAATACATGTAAATAAATTCATTTTGAATGAAGTTCCTCATTTACAGACTTACTGGCAGGAAAACGCCAAACAATGACAGACCGGCCCATTTCATTAAATTTTCTGGTGTTCAGGGCCCGAGAACAAAGTAAATGTACTTTTGTTTTAATTTAGTTGACCCTTACTCTGCCAGAGGAAATATCAACAGCAAAGTAACTTCAGAATATTATTTTTTTAAAAAAAATAATTTAATCCCTTTTTATAAAACTGTCATGTAAACGGAACAAAAAAAAATTTAACATACGATTGATATTTTTTTGGCTAATATCAAGATAACAACTTTTCTGTTTGAAAAGTAATTTAAACGACAAGTGGGCTCTTACTGCATAAAGTTGTTTTAAAAACACACCGTTAACCAACGATATTTTCAACTATAATGAACGTTTTATTTGTTCATGCCTTTCTCTAATATGTCCAGGAATCTATCACACCTGTCCATCTTTTCCTTGTGCATTTGATTTGCATCTGCCAACATTTTCTGACCAACATCTTGGATGGATTCCATTATATTAATTTGTCTATTTCGGAGGGAACGCGAACTGGATTGTTGTGCTTTTTCACCAGAATCGGAGCCTGGTCCTGCAGTGCATGTAGATGAACTTTTCCTACATAATTTTTTCTTAGGTGGAGATGTTGGGGGAATAGTTGCAGCCCGAGTATTAAAAATTTGATCAAATTCATCCTGGTATTTAAATTCCTGTCTTTCATTTCCTGTTCGGTTATAATTGTCTGACACTTTGCGGTATTTTTTTTTAAATGAGTTCCATTTATTGATCATTATTTTGATTTACACTTACATCAAAATTTAATTTAAACATTTCGACTTTATTATACCCCAAAGTGTACCATGGGCTTTTTCTCCCTTATTGAATTCTTTTTCCATGGGAAGCCGAAAATGAATGAGAGCGTATTGGGAATTATGTATTAATTTTATTGTAGAAGCTGACTGAGGTATACTCTACACAATATAGTCGCCTGTCCAACCTCGTAGGTTTTCTCCGGGGCCTCCGGTTTCCTCCCACTGCTAAAGACCGCTACGTGGAAGCGAATTATTGAAATAGAATTAAACCTATGTTAGTCCCGAAATGGCCTAGTTTTTGTCGAATGGAAGTTAAACACTTTCTCTTTCTCCACAATATAATAAAGTAGTTTATTTAACCACCCAATAAAGCTTTTACAGCCAGACTAATTTTGAACAAAACTTTAAAAGCAAGTAAGCATTCCATGCCGTTTATACTTGTATCCCATAACGTTTCACTAGCCCTGTGGAGGGAAGGGAAGGGAAGGGAAAGGAAGGGAAGGGGGGGGGGGGGAGGAGAATCAGTAAGTCTAACTTAGAAAGCTGTTTAAATGATAAGATAACTTACCAAATACGGGACTTGTAACAAAATCGGATATTTTTTTATCAACATTTGCTTCATACTGATTTCCGTCAACGGAAAATTGTATACACGCTGAAATTTAAAAAAATGAATTTAGGTACGCCACAAAAATGAAATTCAAACTGTCAAGGATTCTGTTACGTGCACGTCCAATGTGCTCACGGGACCTCGGTTTTTGGTACCATCCAAACAGGTACGCACTGTTCCCTGACATGCCCTGCGTTCTTAACCATCGACAATGTACGTCGTCACAGTAAGCTATGTATTTTTTAAATTTTCCACACAGCGAATTGTAACATATTCTAATTTTGGATTGGCTTCCTTAAAACAATTATAAACTGCCCTATACTGTGTTAGACTTAACAGAACTACAAAATATAAACTTCTTGGTCAACTGGTGTCTAAAAAAATGGTTATCGTGGTTTTCAGAAAAGTGACTGCGCATGTCGAACGATGTACGGTAAAATAGCGGAAGTAGATACTTTGCCGTATACGGTTAAATATCCCCTTCGAATTTAAAATTGAAATTATATTCTGAAAGCATGTGTTTAAAGTAGGTTACAAATAGGATTAATCAATATCATTATATTTTTCAGTGAATTATGTCACCCAAGATCTTTTCACAAAGTGTTTTTGTCTTGGGCCTATATTCGAATAATTCATCAAGAACAAACCCCCCAAAAAACAAAGTTATTTACATCTACATCCCAAAGCTCCTTCATTTACTTATGGGTGTTAACATGTACATATAATAGGTTCTATGGTGTAAATAACGCAACGGCAATCGACAATTTTCTGATATTTTTCAGAGAAATCTACTCACTTGTCAGTCTTGGCGGCCATCTTTGAACTATCCCGACCGTGCTCTATCGCATGGTATGGCTGGTCAAGACCACGTGTTGAACTAAACGTCATTCGCATGCAGATAGTTCAATTGTACGAAAATCCGTACAACCGAAGGTCGCCCTGGTGAGGCTTGTAAATAGAGCCACACGGTGGCAATATAGCGGATAAGGTCTCAACGTCTTACGTGAAAAAATTGTCTTAAACAGCCGAGAACAACATTTACACCCTATTCAACAAGTAGCGATTTATTGTAAACCTGAAGGTGGGGTCACAGGTTCCTAACCAGTTCATTATGAATATGATAATATATACAACATTAGTAATTTCATAGACCAGTATGTAGGCTATGACGATTTTGGGCTGTCGTATCTTTTATAGTGGGTACCGTTCGTTTGTCACTGCGCTAGTATGGAAAACCCTTAGGGACATTTCACTATTTTATAGATTTTCTTTAAACTACGTTGTTGTATTGATGATATTTTAATGAATCGAGATCAATTAAAAGCCTCGGTGGAAGCGGACGTAAAACACAACTAACAACTAATTAAAAGCCATTCCATTATTGGAGCAGAAACCTACTAACATGTACTGTTGTAATCATGTTTATACGAGGAGGGGCACTAGCGAAATCGAAGTGTGGCTCTCTGGGGAACACAGAGGTTGGAGCTGAAATGTAATGAGAGGGGAAACAACGAGATTTGAATGTGTTACGACTTTATTAAATCGACCGGCATTGACAGGGTGCTTGGGTGGCTTGGCCTAAATACAATTTAAGAGTTTAAGATGAATTTTGTAACAGCTAAATTTGGTCTCCAATGTTGTATAAATAAATCATTAATTAGACATTTTATTTACATGCAAAGCCCACAATCAACTCTCTGAGATCATCAGATGGTTTTATTTGCAACTAATTTAAACACATTTCCAGCTAATAGTTTAACAAGGGTAGAAATGACGATCGAAGCCACGTTGTTCTTTAAACAGCTAAATAAAATAATAGCTACCCTGGGCCTTTTGTAGACAAACAGCGAGAGCAGACGACCGGAAGTAATGAACCCCCTTTCTCGCCGTTTCACAAAAAACGTCGAGAATTAGCGGTTCGCCCATCATACGGTATTATCTGTGGCTACACCATATTGATAAACACTTGATATTGAGTTGATTAACAGCCTACCTTTGTAACCATCTATGATCTAAAAGTGGGTGCAGGCATCTTCATCAAACACTATTGACTATGCCTATAATTTGAAGAATTGCTCAAGCCAATTGTTAAATAATATTGACCATGTTAGTCCCGAAGTAGGCTTATGAAATGGGGCACACACTGAATCATACTCGTGGTTCAGTCAACACCGCCGCATAGCTTGCACTAAAAGGGACTATCGAACACCACACACCCTAAAACGATCAACCCAACCATCCCTAACAATGTTAAGCTTATTGTGGTGCAATCATGATTTTAAACCAAACAAGGTGTAATGATCCACACCTTTTGCTGTATTAACTGCACATAATTTTTAACAGTGCACCTCTATTTTCGATCCGGGGAAATTTCGCATGAAAAGAAAAATTAATGCCGGTTTTAGAAGGTGCACCCTTGATAAATTAGGATCCCAAGTTATCAAAATCAGGTGAGAAATTTGGGGGCCCTTTAAACATTCAAACACTCCTTGGCTGTAGGACTAAATGTGTGTACCAATACAGACAGGTTGAATTGTCACTTGATCTGAAAACCGACTTCATACAAAATATAACATGATAATAATTGTAATACAGTGAACTAAAACCTAATGGTTTAACTCGGACTGCTTATATTACAGTACATGTCCATATGTTCAAACTTGACAGTCCTTGTGAGTGCTCAATTTACTCTTTGTTTACAGCTTCCTTAAAAATGTAAAATTCTCGTCACATTTGGAATAACTTGACATACCCGAACATCGGCGCTACGATCCACTCTTATATCGAATGCCAATGGTTCTTTTTACGTGCATGCCAATGTTTACACTGGACCTCGGTTTTTCGTCCCATCCGAACGACTAGACAACTGCACTACTGAAAATCACGAACAAATTTCTCGGCAACAGCGGGAACAAATCCGCGACCTCGGGGCTATTGAGCAGCGGTTTTAATCACCGAGCCATCGTTGATCCCCCGTCATTACACATGACAAGAGAATATAGTTCAGCTATCCTTTGTCATCTGCACAGACCAATAGTCCATTTTGGTATCCAACTTGGAAAACCATAAATTTTCAGCAAAGTGATGAGTTACCTCTTCTGCTGTAGGTATTCTGTGATGAGGCCGAAGCAGGGCCTGATTTAAGTGTCGTGGAGCAAGGCATACTCGACGTGAACGATCTTTCTTTGAGTAAGCCAAACTGGGTACCTACTCCGTAGGCTCTGTGATACGACAAATGACTCCAAGATTTTCCCATGTGATCCAACTTTATCTGGTCACGTAGTGCTATAGGCGTCTTACGTGGAGCATCGACATGAGGTGTAGCATCTGGGTTTACTATGTAAATTCCCTAGGAAACATCCGATCTTGTCAAACTGTTCTGGATATTGTATTAATCTTTGATGCATTGTCGGTAGTTATACAACATTGGAGTGTGATCAGCTTTATGCTCTACAAGGTGGTAAGGCGGCTAGTATTGCCGGACCTTCTACATCAACAATATAAAATGGTATGTTGAACCATT